TCAGAGTCACTTTAAATGCATTTAAGCTGTCCTTTAATTCTGGCTGAACAGGACATGTTCGTGAGGGAAAAAAAGGCATTAATAAGCAACAATAAGCAGCAAGGTGGAGAAAGATGACCTGGAAAGTGCTCTATGGTTTCAGCTGCTTGGAGGATTGTTGACTTCACTCTAGCATGCGACACATGGTGTCTTGTGGTTTTTCACCTTTTACACATTCACTGCTATGTAAAAGCTGTCAATACAAAGTTTGACGCAATTCAGAAGTGTAACTGAGCTACACTGAAACACAACCAAAAAGCTGCTTTTTGTCTTCACACTATCTGCAGGAATTTCAACAACAGAATACAGTTTACTACAATCAGGTCACACGTGAACATTTCATAACTTTCCTGCACGAAGACAGATAGCACCTCAGCTTTCTCAGAGCTCCTATCAGATCTGCGGACTGTCGACGTGAACTCAAGAAACCCCACCATTTTTGGACGTTTGTTTTCACAGCCAGCACGTCAGCGCTGACCTACTACAAAAAAAAAAAATAACAAAGTCAAGAGGAGGTTGAAATGCTTTTGAGGAAAGATATTCATCTGTTTATGGTCACAGTGGACCCAAACGTGCTCTCTGTGCCAAATATGGCCACTGGAAGATGGATGTGTAGACAAATTTCCACTTTATAATGAAGGCGAAGTCCTGACCAAAACTCTTAAGACAACAACTTGGGCTTTGTAATCTCAAGCTGAGAACCAACATGGTCTTGTTTGTCAATGTACAACTATGTGTAACAGTGAAGGAGTAGTCAGTCACTGTGTTGGATGTTGAACACCCCACCCCGCCGCCCTCCAAAACCAAGCCCATAAAACACGTACTACTGTACACCTGGACCCTAGTGCAATAGGGAAAGCGTTCTGATCTGACAGGCAACATGACCTACATGCAAATAGAAATCCCTGCTTTTCTGATTGGCTGGATGTTGCTGGACCGTGTCATGTGGGGTTTTTTTGTTTGTTTGTTTGTTTTTATCTCCCAGGTTTTCACCAGGCTCTGTAACTGGAGCTGGTCGAAACATTTGGGATGCATTTCTGATAGATTGGATGTTGGTGGTCCGTATATTTACATAAGACATTGTCTACAGAACTTGCTGTGCATCACAGAAACCAGCTGAGCAGACATTCAGTACGTTTACATAGACAACAATAATCCACTTTTAACCTGATTAAGACGATACTCTGATTAAGAAACTAGCATGTAAACAGCAATATTTAACTACCTTAATCCGATAAAGGTCAATACTTTAAGTAAACACAAATCCAATTAAGACGTGTGGAGTATTCCTGTTTTAGTCGCATTATCGACGTGCAGTATGGACAGGTAAACACCTTAATCACATTATTAACGTCGTGTGAGAGTTTTCACCGCACAGGACACGAACACACGGCACTGCTCAACCGTTTGATGGCAAACTAAAGAGCACGGCTGCATCCCAAACCGCATACCTGCCTACTATAGGCCTGTAGTAGGAGAAATACATCTATCTCGGCTACTATATAGACGATAAGTACGCGGTTTGGGACGCAGCCCACGACTGCGTCCCAGCACTTGAAGCGTGCGTAAAATAAATTGAAATAAAAACGCCCAAAACTGTATACGGTAACATAACGAAGACGTATGTTGATACGTGAAATTCTATAACATGTAAAACGGGTACATGAAAGGAATATTCTAAAAGCGACTCATGTAATATTGTCTTATTCAGAGTGAGGTCAATAATTAGATTACTGCTGTCCATGTAAACGTAGTCATTGTAATATTCTGCATCTGCCGGAACGTGAGAATAAATTTACCAAATATGACACAAAGCGTTCTGGTTTTAAAATCACCAACCGGACCTTTACGTTACATTCTCTAAACTCTTGTAAGTCCTTCAGGATACCACACCAGTGGTAAGGTACAGTTGTTCAATTTTTTTCTTCTACTTTTTGTAGGTGTGTTCAAACAGGGTGCACATCGACCTGTGCAGAGCCCCCATTACGTGAAGCACCTCATGACAATATTAGACCACTCATACGTTTCATATTACTCACAAGCTCAACTCAACATTCTACAAGGACTAGGTCATTATGACAATTCACTGAATTGAATTGAGTCTCTGACGGGGCGGTCTCTACGTAAACAGATTTTTTAAAATGTGTGTAAATGTTGATATTGTAAAGTTTTCTGTAAAGAGATATTTATTTGACATTTTCTTCAAGACGTTTCCAGTGTCAGTATTTTGTAACAGTCAGAAGTAAGTAGTAAGGAGTAAAATTTTTCCAAGACTTTCCAAAGTCTTCACAAACAAGGGTGAACAAGACACACATTTTCTTTGTTCTGTTTAGTTTTGTTTTCTTAGTTTTCTTGTATGAATAACTTTTCGACAGATTGAAAAATGAGATGCAGGACAAGGAACAACTGTTTATAACATGTACATGGAGCCTATCCCAGGAGACATCAGGCACAAGACGGGGTACACCCTGGACAGGGTGCCAGTCCATCGCAGGGCACAATCACACACACACACACTCACACACCCATTCATACACTATGGACACTTTAGACACGCCAATCAGCCTGTACAACGTTTCTAAACGAACAGAAACGTTCGCGTCGTCATATTGCTGTAGTATGAGAGGACTAAACATTTCATGATTGTCGCATCACACCACACTCTTCGATTACTCTCATTACGTAATATCGTGATCATGATAAATGACATCACGATACTTTGGGGTTTTTCTTTTTATTCGATAGATCGTCAGTACTTTCATACTATCGTGCAGCTCATCGTAACAAGTCGCTGACCGGATGTTTGACTTTCTCCTTTCCTGTGGTAAAAGATTCATTCTTTCGTTAAAGTCAAAGCTCCATTTATTTTATTTATTCATTCATTTTAATTTGACGACTAATGTTTTGCTGGCACTCTCTGAGAAAACAATACCGGGGATACATATACTGTAGTGAATAAGTTTTCAAATGTAGTATTGAGGCACAGATACCTTCATAAGTAATATTCATGGTTACTATTTCACTTCTCACTTAGATAAAACTCTAATTTAAGGTCTGTCAGTGTGTGTTGGCTGTTTGTTTGTGTTCATTTTCGCGCCTCAGCCTTTTAAACCTCCTGCAAGAAGCCGACCACTTCCTGATTTATTTGAATGCACAGGTTACACCCCCAAACTACCCAAATGAAGCACGCTGTTCAAATGTGGACATTATTCAGGCTTGTGTACTATTTCTACATACTATTTAGTGCGGTAGTATGTAGTCTGGTGTATCCAGCCGGGCTGCTCGCTCTGGCGTGATAGGTAAATGGTTTAAAATGTAAACGCACGTTTATTTAAAGCCTGGCCTTTTTTTTCCTCTTTCTTTTCTTTAACTGAGCATTTAGTTATTTCTGCTACGACTGAAATGGGTGAAGTTCTTTGAAACGTCTCGGCCGCTCTGTTTCCTGTTTCATAAAAAAAAAAAAAAAAAAAAAAAAAAAAAAAAAATAAAAAAAAAAAAAAAAAAAAGTAGAAAATTAAAAAAAAAAAACGAGGGGGTGGCGGGGAGGGTGGGTGCTTTTTTTTTCCCCCCCCCCCCCCCCCCCCCACCCCCCCCCGCCCCCCCCCCCTCCCCCCCGACAACAGCCCCCCTTCTCCCCCGGTTTGGACGGCCCCCCCCTCCGCCAAAAAAAAAAAAAGAAGGCGCAAATCCTATTCCTCCTTTTTTTTTTTTTCCTCTCCCCCCCCCCCCCTTTTCTTTTTTTTACTTTTAGTGTGAACGCAGTTTTTGTTTAGTTTTTTTTAATGGAGGGGAAAAGAAATAAAAACTAGATTAAACACTACGACTGCGCAAGAATTGTTAATATTGTGAAGATGTCGCAACCTGAATTACAACATAAGGAGGGTGTTTTGTTGTTGTTGTTGTTGTTTTGCTATCACCTGATTTGCTGATGGTGATCGTGGTATTTCCTAATAAGAGCGAATTAACACAGATCCGTTTACTAGGGTTATATAAGGAGCAATCGCGGTTGCTTTCAAGATGTCGAGTGGTTACCGCAATTATTCTGCCATGTCTCTTTCAGTCACAGCAGTGGAACACGGTACAACAATTCAGCCTCGATCCTCTGTGTAATAATAATAATAATAATAATAATAATAATAATAATACTAAACTGTTAGCAAATATGATAATCGTTTGCACACTTACCTTGTCAAATAACGAGCCAACATTGGCAGTGACTAGTAAAACGTCCGTGAGCGTCTCCATCATTATCCCCAATTCCTGATCGACTAGTCCGGGACAGAGAAGTCTTCTGACAGGTCGGTGTTTCTTACACGTGGCTTCTGCAAGCAGACCGGTGGAAGAGAGATCAGCTTGAAAGCCAGTTCGGAAGAAACCGGGCTGCTTTATCTTCTCATCAGCGCAGAGTTCACACCGACATGCCTCACGCGGTGAGTGCTGCTCCGGTTTATTAACTCCAGTCGCTCGGCATGTCTTCACTTGCTTTCGTTAAGTCTTCGAGTCCACTTGGCTGGAGTTCTCCCCCGGGGTTCATGTTCACTGGACCGCAGGTTCGAACCGGCATGAAACACGACACACTGCGGCAGTCTGTACAGCACCGCATCACATCCGAGCGTCTTTCTGACTCTGTTTATCGGCTCGTAAAATCGCGAAGACACGCCCACTACGGGCTTGCTACAGTGTTTAGCCACGCCCAGAACCCGAGTGAACGTACTGTACTGTACAGCAGCCAAAAAGTTTCTAAGCCCCGCCCATCGGTTGCATACAAACGGACTTATTCCCCGCCCACTAACTGCCAGAAATTCTTTAGCCCCGCCCACTTGGTTCAATGTATTGTACATTTAAGTGCTGACATGATAGATAGATAGATAGATAGATACTTTATTGATCCCTAAGGTAATGGATGCAGGGACTAGATCTTCTTCCTCTTGTTATTATTATTAATATTATTATTACTTTTCGGCACAGTGGTTTAGTGGTCATCACGTTTGCCTCACACCTTAGGGGTTGGGGGTTTGAATCCAGCCTCTGCCTTGGGGGCACGGAGCTTGCATCTTCTTGTCGTGCCTCGTCCAAACACATGTATTGTAGGCTGATTTTTCCACATGACTTGTAGTGTGTATGCGATTGCGCCCTACGATGGGTTGGCACCCCGTCCAGGGTGTTCCCCGCCTTGTGCCCCGAGTTTCCTTGTATATGGATTGTTATTATTATTAGTTGTAGTAATAGTAAAAGTAGTACTAGTAGTATTGTTGTCGTTTGTTCTTGTCCTCCTTTCTTTCTTCTGTATATTTTATCCTTTACATATTATTGGATGGCTAAGGGTGTATATATAGGTTGGTGGATGTGCAAACTGACTATTTTATTGCCTGTAATCTAGCACTATACGATGCACTTTATGTGCACTGTAAGGTTACTTTGTAAATCTTTTATGTGTGTCTTGTAAATAAGGACAGATACTTTTATAATAGATGTATTTGTAGCTGTGATCATAGCAATTACAATGTTATAGACCTAATGTTATGGACACGCCTCTGTAGTGTTAATGACAAAGGCTTACTACCACAAGTTACTTACATTATACACCTGCCACATTAAAGCCCCTTTGGTTTGGTTTGATGATTTCATATTTATTGGGTTGTTTTTTTTTAATGGGATGAGGCATCATTAGCCATAGTTAAGTTTCTCTGCATGAATAACATTTTGAACTGAATTGTCACACACCCCATTCCATTCACACAGTTGGCTATTCAGCAAAGCCTAGTGTAATGTGTATATGACCAGATGTGCTTCTTTATTGTCAGGCTGCGACAAAAGAGAAAATCAAATGCACATATTCATAAGATAATTTGCTTTGGCAGTGTGTCAGGAATAGCTTCGGCTTGGCACAACAGGAGGTAAAATGCTGAATCATGGAAATGAACCCAGGCTAATGTTCTCATCCCTGAGCAACATCGAGTTTATTGCAGCTTGATTCCTTTTTGATGGAAACTGGAAAATGATAACTACCATTCATGTATTCGTTCATTTAAACATTTTTGTTTGTACTACTTTCATTACAGTTTATCTGTAGGACATACCAGCTTCATCATATTTGTGAAAGTATGTTACTACGGTATTCAAAAAGTGACAAAACAAGTCGCTTCTGTGCGTGCAGCTTCCCTTAGCATACGAATTAAGAATTCAAAATAGATCAGGATTTGCATATTTCTTTAAAGAACAAACACATCAATTCTGCACTGTACATTTCTACAATACCTACCCCTCCGCTGCAGTGATATATATTATTTAAAACCCTCATAACATCCAGTATAATGAAATAATAATCATACCAGAGGATGTTTTAATATTACAATATTCTCTTCTGCTAGGAAGAAGAAAATGCAGACGTTAAATGGACTATACACATTTTTACAATGCTAATAAAGACATACAATATACGGCATAAATTAAGTATTTACTAGTAATAAAGAAAAGCAATAAAGAAGCATCTCCACACAGAAAACTTAATCGTATCAACAATTTTTAATCTTATCGACATGTTTTTGTTTGTTTTTTACAATCATTTTATATGGAACAGCTGCCATACATATCCCTGTGAATGATCTGCTACATTAATATGAACTTTGCAGAGAGGAATACTGTCAGAGCTGCAGTTACAGAAAGAAATAATCACCTTCTGACTAATTAGAATCAAGAATTTTACTGCGTGGCAGTTTTGACATTATACACATGACAAACTCAAGTACACTTTGTCATTTTTTATTGAGTAATTTCATCCATAGACACGACAGACGCACGGTTGTTTTCAGGTTAGGAGGACAGGGTGGTAGAGATTTAAGAGTTGACTTGATGAGAAAAGGATTTCGCTTGGCAGCAGTCAAGTCACTGGCAGCACTGATGCAAATAATGCACTCAACCCAAATATCCACTCACCCGCAATGTACGAGAGGCCAAAGTCAACACACGCTAGCTCAATTCCAACAGACAGACGACTAGTGCATCCTACGTTTCGTTCCTGCATTTAGCTTTTGACTTAATTCCCAAGGTTCAATGCGTGCAAGCTATTTTTAGGATTATGCATAAATTTCGATGTGCACAAATATTCTTAAAATCAGCCCGTCTCAGAGGATCATCAGATCTCTCCACGTGGTGCTTCACTGAGAACTTCATTCTGCCCTCTTCATAAAGCTGAACTCTACACTGGTTCATGCTGTTGAGACTTCATTCAGATCAGAAGTCCATATCATGAAACAAACAAACAAACAAACGGTTCAAATGGACTGAACCAGTATGGGAACATTCGCCACTGTTTAGCTCTAAACTAACTGTAAGTAGATGTAAAATAATATCTGGACCCTTTAGCTGAAGTCCCAACATGTGCGAGTTCATGCCATCTCAGAGGACATCATCAGAGCATTAGGGCTGGTTTTAGCAGATATGCACAAACCAACTTCATATGCCGTGCTCAGAACATTGACCATTCTCAGTTCTTGGTGAATCTAGAGCGTAAAGTCAGAAATTGCATTGCATTTCCTGGATTTGAGAGAGCCTCTTTGAACTTGCTGCCAAGCCCTTTATTGATTGGGGCTAAACATAGCATTACACGAAACTTCAGCCATTTTCAATCAAATATCTAACCACTGCATCTGTAGTGTATGTGTAATTACCACAGAGAAGAATTCTGACATTTCAGAAAACCTGTTTGTTATCGCTGAAATATTACGAGACAAAATCCTATTTTAAACACTAGATGACTACAGTGATAAGTAAATCCAGGGACTTATGCTGGGTTTGATGCGAAGTTAAAGGCAACACTCCTTCAACTTGTAATTTCAACTCGTCAACTTGGGGTTGTCTTCTCAACTACCAGAAATATTTTCGTGGAGGTGGGAAATGACTTTATTACAGCTTGTAAATGACCGTTTACAAGACACCATGAACGCAGCATTATACTTTCTCTAGTATTGTTTCTCTAGGTTTTCTAGTATTCCTGTGCCATCAGGATGTAATTAAGACACTTTTATGTTTCAGTTTGAGCTACAGTACAAAACTAGTGTGAGCTAGAAATTCCCCTTCCTGAAAAAAGGGAAGAATTGTCCAGAGTTAGGGTCATATTCAGATTTGAGTTACACACATGTAGTGAGAAGTCAATGCCACAAATGTGCATGTTGGTATTCAGGCAGTTCAGGTGTCATAATATTATATATATAAAAAAGAATAATATAAAGTGCAAAAAACAACGTGCTGGATCAAGTGCTATTTTATAAACTTAACAATTTTGTTCAATTATACTAAATTTGCAGTGATTAATGTGATCATTACTATTAGGTCTATTCATGTAGGAATACTGTATATTAGCAATATACTAGTCTCCTATTAGTTGTTTAATTTTTATTTTTCATTTTAAAATGGTCTCTTGTTTTTATGGAGTTTTTTGACAACAAAGCAAAAAAACAAAACAAAACACTATATCCTTCTTCAGTCCACATTTTCTATACAGGATTTTTTTTTTAACATTAAAGACAAGTGCTCATACGTTTGCCTCACACCTCCAGGGTTGGGGGTTCAATTCCACACTGTGTTCGTGGAGTTTGCATGTTCTCCCCATGCTTCTGAGGTTTCCTCCCTCAGTCCAAAGACATGTGGTGTAGGCTGATTGGCATCTCTAAATTGTCCATAGTGTGTGAATGGATGTGCGAGTGTGTGTGCCCTGTGACGGGTTGGCACCTTGTCCAGGGTGTCCCGCGCTCTGTACTCCCTAGGATAGGCTCCAGGCTCCCTGCGACCCTGTCTAGGATAAGCGGTACAGAAAATGGATTGTTGGACGGACAAGTGCCCATGTTTAAAAGAGGTGGTATAGATGCTATGAAAAATCCCCATCGCAAACACTTACACTGAAGAATAATCTGGCAACCTTGGAGGCGTAAACTACACAACGATTTGATTTGTGTAATATATATGGGGCTCACAGAAAATCCACTTCAGCATCTGCAAAATACACCTCTGAAAACGAGTAACTTTCCCAGCGTAAATATGGATGCAACTTTCGGACTTGTCAAGTCGGAATAGGGGCCTCGGATTTTAATTTACGTACAGGAAAACTTACAGCCCTTGTGAAGAAATCCTTGTCCTCATATGCTACATAAGCACTCATATGCTACAGATGCAATAGATAGACATTAGTTGAAAAGGTTTGTTTTCTTTAGAAATTATGGATATATATCCATCCATCCATCTTCTACCGCTTACTCCTTCTTCAGGGTCACGGGGAACCTGGAGCCAATCCCAGGGAGCATCAGGCACAAGGCGGGGTACACCCTGGACAGGATGCCAATCCATCACAGGGCACAATCAACACACACACACTACGGAGATTTTTTTTGCTCAGATGTTTTATGAAATTTCTGAACTTATCATAATCTTGTCATAGATGTTTATATTCTTGCAGTACATTGGAAATATTCCTACAGTGAGCACCAAACATAATTGCACCTTTAAAGCATTACGAATGACATAATGAGGTGCAGCGTAACCAGGGAATGCTGAACACTTGTATGCTTGCAATTCTGAAAAGCGACTCAGTTTTTGATGCTCTACCTTGAGAATAGACGCACTTTGCATGTACGAACAAGTAAACAAGGTCTTCAACCAACTGTTTCTTTAGGCTCTATTCCAAGGGCTTTTACATGGAATACAGCAGCTATAAACCATGATTCCCTTTCTTTCTCTTGTATTTAATAAGTCAAAACACACAGCTTGTCATTTTGCCGTGAAACCTCAAAGCCCTGAAGACTTTCCCATGGTGGAAAACATACTTGCTGTTACTATAGACTCCTTCAGTAAATAAATTAATTAAATAAACACCTTCTCTTACAGAAAATGAAAATGTCACCATAGCAACTGCTAAACAACAACGAAGAATCTTTCTTGTTTGTTTCTTATGTAGAGTGGCCCATCATACAAGTCACTGTGAACGAGTCGTTACTATAGAAACGATGACGTATTAAAACAAGCACATTAATAAACACCTG